CGCGAGCGTGCCATAGAAACATGTTAATTAATCTTGGTCGTAGCCTAATATAGTGATAATAATCTTGGATCCCTAGCAATTATTGTTGCTATATATAAAATGAATTTTCGAAAAGTAAATCTTCCCCCGGGCCCTTAAGCCTTCATTTTTTTCCACCTGACAATCTCCTTGTCGTCCCGAGAAGACAAAGTATTTTCCAGATTGGAGATGAAATTTGGAATTTGACGCAGCGGGACAATTTATTTCGTGTCTCCGCCGAATTCTCATTATGAAAACGAGCAGCTTTCTCCCACGACGACCACGTTGGTCCAAGATTTCCTCCGCCTCGTGATAAATGATTAATGATTCGATCCCCTTCATCACTACACCTTATTTCCACGGTGTCCTCATTTCCGAGGAGAAATTCGCTTTCTCCGCTGCAAAACCACCTCCAGTCGAGTGGCACATTTTGGAGAGACATTGACCAAATTAAATCCCCAGGTTGACATACCATCAGCACACACTAAATAAACTTGGTCGCAAAATTACGCTACGCTATTCATGACCTGCATAAAGTCAAGTAGATAGGATCGAAGAGTGCCCGTGGTGTGGAGGCCAAGTTGACATTTGATAATTATATTGCATCAATTCGAAATGTTCATGTACATTTTTTACAGTTAGTATTAAATTGTAGTTTACTTGATGTTTCTGAATATATTGAACTTTTGTGTTTAAATTAAAATATGTATATATTCAGATCTGCATACATATCAGAGCTTGCAAGGGCTTGTAAAAGTGAACCTAAATCTTTTTTTTAGTACGTTGTATTGCTGAACAGCAATTTTAACCCAACAACATTAAAGGCTATCAGACCTTACCTATAAAACTTTTTCATAAAACTTGCGAAATACTTTCAATTTTACTAACCGGCCTGAAAATATATCAAAAAAGAGATGGACTCAAATATTAGAATAACGTCAATGAATCACTTAAAATCACTCAAAATCACTTAAAAATGTATCATAAGTCAAAATTACTTCGGTCACATAAGATCTCAAGGTGACATCTGTACTAGAATAAGCTTTCAGGAGCTAATACAAATACCTAGCTAATTATTTCAATTAAAGTTATTTAAAATTACAAACTCGCACAAATCATGCACAAAGAAATTGGCAACAAAATTGTCACCGCAGTTTTTTGTAACAAAAAAATTCCCCTACCGAGATCGATCCCACGCTTTACGCAAGGTCCCCAACATCACCCACTGATAACTAACAGCCCTCCGCATTTATACAACTCAAATCCAAAATATTCCTGAAAAAGCTTGTCGTGAGAACATTTCTTAGTTTTTTCTTTGACAACTTACACAAATACTTTCTCCCCTTTTACCTGACAAATATGTCAACTACCACACTTTCTCCCCTCCTTTCTCCCCAGGGAAAACTTACCTTGCCACAAAATCTCTACAAGCCAGGGTGCAGACGTGGTAAGGTAAATGCTATAATGGGAGAAATTGGAAACATCGAAAAAAATTCTCGGCACACTTTTAGTAATTGGTGCTGGTATTCATTACTACAAAAAGACCAGCCCTAGAGGAAAGGTCAAACTTGCAAAATTTGAATTTTACCTAACTTAAATTTGGACTAATTTGGGCAAATTGTGTGGAATGAGTTCAGCACTAACACAGTCAAGCTTTATCAACTGAATAGGTCTTAATAAGAATTAAGGCATGCATGCTTAAAATATTTTTTGCACTTGTCGAAGGAAAAATTATGGGGAAGCTAGGAAGACGAAATATTTGACTAGTTTTTGTCCACAACATTTCCTCATTTTAACCAAAACTCCTGTTTTTTAAATAAAAAAAAACAGATCGACAATAAGTTAGACTAGCGAAACCCTGTAGTGTTTTCATACGTTCTCGTTTTAGTTAGAGAGAGAGGGAGACATTTCCTTTGACAGAGGAACAACTATGCACACAGAGGAGGAAAATAATGCAAAGAATTCATTCATTCTTTGATTTATACGCGTTTGACATGTCCCATAATATTTCCAATCATTTCCTTTCCCAAGTTTTTCCTTCTTTTTTGGTGGGAAATGCCCACGGTAAAAGAGACATGTTTCTTTCATGTTCTATGACAAACCACATAGAACAACGTTCCCCATGAAATCGGATCACATGAATGAAACTACCATACACAAATATTCAAGATTTATTATTGTTGAGACATTTGTCACAACTTTGTAACGAGTTTCAAGAATTTTTTTCTGAAATGTAGCCCTTTTTGTCCCTAAAAGTTTTAAGATTTGTTCAAAATACTGACAATTTTATGAATTTCAATTTTTAAACCAACTTCCTCCCGAGCAAATGGGTGAATTGACGAACGTCAAGTTTTTTACACGATAAAAAAATACTCCGGCAGCGTGAAACCTTAATTTGCATCCATCAACTCCCTAACGAAGTTCTCAGCACTAACCTAATTTTTGATTTGCATTGTTGATTATTACGATGATTAATAAAATTTAATTTTTACAAAAGACGTTTAAATCTGACGATAAAATTATTACTACAAATTTTGTTACTGTTAAAGAAAGCTAAGTTTACACAACTTCTAAATAATCTAAAAGGAAGGCTGGTAGCTTTAAGCTGTATTTTTTTTCTGCGAACGAAAGGAAAAAAATTGCTTGTTTTAATTGTTTAGCAAATATCAAAATATAAATCGTGTAAAATTTAAAAGTTTACGAAAATTTGGATGCACAACCATACTCATAATTTACAAAAGATTACGTACAAATTAGGGTGAATTGTCCCATTACAGACAATGTCTACACGCACACAGATGTTTATACATATATATGTCTGTATCCCTGTAATGGGGCAATTCACGCGAAACTTTCTCCCTTGTGCAAATCGCCTCTTAACATTTGTTTTCCTGTATCGATTTGCTCTCACTCAGCTAACTCTGAAGATAAGGAGCCTTGTGCGAGTTTTTGTGGGCCATAGATTTCAATAATGAGGATAATATTCAATTCACGAGTCAGCAAATGTCTATTTTTGCACACCCGGCGTTTCGCCCATCGAATGCATCGACGCTAAGAATTCCAAAAATTCGTGTGAAAAACTTACCTAATTTAAAATTTATATTGTAAAATTTTAATGGCAATTTTACCGTTTTAAATTATTTATAAAGTGAAGTGACGTCGAAACATTGCAAAAAATATGATTTTAAATTTTGAAATATCCTCTTTAATCACTTCATCGTCACTTAAAATCACTTAAAATCGTCACTTCAAAGTGCACACGTGTAAAAAGGCGTGTATTTCCCCTTAGATCTAGGCCTTCCTTCAAACATCCTACAGTAGCGGACATTAATCATCAAATCGAACCAACTAATCCCATTAAGTGCCTCCACCCACAGGGTTCCGAACACCGGGGTTTTCTTTCGATCCAGTATATTTTGATGTGCTTATAGATTCTTAATCCACTAATTTTTGTAGCTATTTTTTTGTAATTTGAATAGATTTTTTTGTAATTTTTACAATCTCATTCGCAATTACGTTAAGAAGTACGGTGATTTTTAATAAAATGCATATTATCGAATAATAAGTATCCCAGTACAAAAAACGCAGTGCAAATGAAATTTGTAACAGACACGTGTTTCAGCAACCCTCTCCCCATGCCGAACTTATCACCAACTTTAAGCCGACCAGACGACCACGGCCGGATTTACTTTCACTTGCCGAGGAAAACTAAACTTTCGCTGTCCACAAGGGACGCAAATCCGCCTCGCCGTCATCGCCATAAACCAGACCAACTTCCACTAACAAAACAAAGGGAACGAACTTTCCAGTCGGGGACCAAACTGTGAGTACTTTTAAAGGTCAAGAAAATACAGATGCATCCTTTTCCTTTCTGTAAACCAAACCGAGCAGAAATCATGACGAAATTTTACCACAAGAAATTGTTTTCCTAACAATTTTGTTATTTACGTGTGAAGTTTTGCTGTTTATTTAATTCGTTGTTGCGTGATGTGCATTTCTGAGGTTTCTAATTTGCGTAAATGTTTCGGATTTTCACAAATTTTGAGAAATATCTATGTATGTATGTAGCTCCTGGGCACATTTCTTGCTTCATGAGAAGAGAAATTTGGTAACTTCTTTGGTGTGAAATCGTTGTATACATATATTACCGGAACAAGAATATAATGTGATAGAAATTTGTTATGATCAGTGACTGCGTATGTCATGGAGCTTCTATTTGAGACGCGATCACTGACAAAATCAAATTAAAATTGAATTTTCTTAAAGATTTTGATGCTGGCGATTTTAGTTTCTGAGAGAAACTTGAGAGGACGGAATATATCTCGGAATATATATCAAGAAATGTGTCCCCAACCCGGTCTAAAAACGTTCACAAATCACTAAAACTGCGTGAAAATCAATTTCTTCAGAGTGACGTTAGGTTTCATAGTATTCTACCTCTAATTTTATAGTAATGAGTAAAATATAAGAGTCCGAAAGAAAATTTGTCAAATTGTATTAAACTCTGGCAAACAAAGGTGCTGACGACACAAATAGGGACATGATGATCATGTTCCGACCTGTTGACAACGGGGAAATTTTGTCCAAAAATGAGTGCAAGTTGGGTTAATTTATTTGTATGTTGGTTTCGTCGCTATGTAATTTTTGTACAAATAAGCAAATTAAACAATTTATTGGCACCAAGGTCCTGAATTTTACTTAGTTACGTGTCTACATAAGGTTAGCTCATTTGATGGTAAATTTTGTGACCGAGAGCTTGGGACGAGTTTGGAATTATTTTTGGAAAAAAATTCGTTGCTACACGAAGTTAAGGCCATTTTCATGCAAATTTATAAAATATTTATATAATTGACATGTAGACACGTAACTAAGTAAAATTCAGGACCTTGATTGGCACCATAAAAATAAACTACTTTCAAAGAAACCCATAACCTTCAATGTGTAATGACAGACAACTGACAATATTTAACAGCCACAGCAAAATGAACAAGAAACCACCACTTCAACGTGATGACGACGCTTCCGGAGCCGGAGGGGCCCGCCCCCTACGAAACGCTACCCAAGAACACAGCTTCCGGTCTGACTACAACCCTACGCTGTACATCAATCGGGTCACTCGTACCGTCGACAAGGTCAACCTCCCCATTCTCACGGACGAAGATAATCACGTAGATTGGCACGTTTTCCACGTTCCCAGACCCCTCCCAGACACGACGACGGCAATCAATGGGGTCGGTGGGGTCAGAGGACCACAGTGTAAGAGGTCCAAGGTCACTTTTTGTCGAAATTCTGCCAATTATTTCTACTTTTTTCAGGGTGGGCGACAGCATCCCTTCCAGAGAAAAGGGCCGCCTGGGAGCAGACTGTCGGAAAGGAAGTCGATGAAAATAACGACCCTGACCTCGCCTTAGTGAGAGGTCGACTGCACGACCTTCTCGTGACGACGAGACCCAACCAATTTTCCGTAATGTTGTCGGAAATCCGGTACAGGAGGGATGAGACGAGATTGAAGAGGAGAAAATGGAGGAGATCAATGTGCGAGGATGAGAAAAGCGACGGGCAAGTCCAAAATATTTAGTTATTCAAAATAGTACAAGGAGAAGGGCGACAAGTCAACAAATGATAAAGCAATTTTGAATTTTTGATAATGCAAAAATGATTTTACTGTATTTTTTCGTGCATAGATTGACGAACAAGAAGTCTGGTTGGTTTCGGGGAGCTGGGACGATCCATTTTTCAGCGTGTTTTCATGTCGGGGTACGTTTTATTTTGTTTTATTTTTTTGGGGGGTGGGGGGGGAGAATTTGTTGTCTTGTGATAATAAAAATTGAGGTCAAGGGTTACCTTCAGGGGGCAGGGGGCGAGATAAGAGTTTGGTCGTGACTGCTCACAGCGCTCGAGAGGTGAGAATGAAGGGGAGGTCATTGGCCTTCGCGCAAACGGCAGCTATTCCTCCCTTAGCCTTCTCCATTTTTTCAGTCTTCAGCTTACGAGCACCAGAGCAGTCACCACCAAGGTCGCTCTCTCCAATTCCGTCCCCCCGAAGATAACCCCAAGGTAACAAAGTTGACCTCTCCTTTTAACCCCCAATCCAGATAAGTGAATCGTGTTTTCGTCCTTGTTTTCCAGATAATGACGATTTCCGCCTTGGTCCAGCAATACTACGAAATGTCCGAGTTGCGGAATCTTTTTCCTTCTGAAGGTCATCTCAATAACCCAGTGACCTCGCGGGTCATGGGACTAGTGGGACTTTGTCTGATCTGGGTCGGCGTGATGACAGGGATCGTTGGACAATATTTCAAACGAGTGTCACTGCTGAGAATGGTGAGTTGGGTAAAGCTCAGAAGAGAGTTCAAGTTAGTAAATATGGTTTTTATATTTTTTCAGTACATGACCTTCTTCATTGTTGGGGTCGTCCTGTACTTGACACAGTACGGGATGGAAAATTACTACTCGACACGGCAAGTTTTATCAGATCTTTTGAAAGGTCAAGTTGACGAATATCTCAACCAAGGGGAGAAGAGAGGGGGAGGAAAAGTGGCCTCATTTCTGCTACAGGTGCAAGAAAAGGTATGTATTTTGCAAACTGAATTAAAAATATTTTTTATATTTAAAAATATGGTTAAATATTTCCAAGTTGTAGAAAAAGTGCGTATTTTGCAAACTGTGTTCAAAATAGCTGTTTTGCGATAATGTTTGTAAACATGGTTAAAAGTAGTGTCCACATTTTTGGCCTGTTTATTTGCAGTTTAGTTGTTGCGGATATCACGGCCCGTGGGATTACGGTCAGCGCAGCCGGCCACCTCATTTGCTCTCGCCATCGGGAAAATTGACCTTGCCGCCGTCCTGCTGCGAACAATTGGTCACTCGGACCCTGGATTGTTACGTGATGAGGAACAAATCCACTCCGGAATTTGTACATGGTCAGGTACGTCGACCTTGTTGCATCTTAAATTGAAATTAACTTGACCTCCGCACAGGGCTGCACTTCTCCCTTGATAACCTTCCTTGGCCACATCCATCTCTCTCGGCAACTGATGGCACCCTTCATCCTGTTCGGGACCGTGGTTCATATATTTTCCGGGATAAATTTTCACCGCAAAGTGATTCCGTTTTTGACCTCAGTCAGTAAAAAGAAGGTCGAAAGGTCATCTGTCGGCCCTTTTGTCACTGCAACGTTAGGAGAACAACTACTCGATACGATTCAAGAAGCAACAACAACGGCAGAATCAAAGGTGGAGGTTTATTTATGGTGGTAAGTTTTTGTTTATTTTATTTCAAATTATATGCATTTTTTGGGTAGAGTTCTGTAGTGGAATTCGACACGGAAAAAATTCCTGGGACGATAGATTCTGTCCGAAGACGGCTCGGCGAGTGCGAGAGTTTGGCAGGTATGAAAGAGAGATTCAAATTATGAAACATTTTGAGTTTTGTATCTAAATATTTGGGCAAAATTACTTTATAAATACAACTTACATTACTTCACACAGATTTCATCTTGTGCATCGTTCAACTGCTCCACGATGTCGAAGTTTTCCAGGAAAGCGAGTTCGGGCAGTTCAGACCGGATGCGGAGGTCATTGCGAGGGTCATTCTGGGCTTGAGACCGAGACGATTCGTGTGTAAGGATTATTTCCAGCAATTTTATTTGCAAATTTCTAGTTTGTTACAATTTTTGCGCCAAAAATTAACATTCTGTTGCTGACGATTTTAATACGGTCACATTTTTACCCCAGTTTTCCTAGTTTTACACATTTTTATAAATATTTGTTTAGATTTTGACTCTTGATTTACATTTTAGCACCATCGCTTCTCGACGCTGATTTCGACGACGTCCTCATCCAAGCCAGGAATCGTGGGAAACCCCGTGAAAAATTGTCCAGGCAGGATTTGCTGATACGGATGAACATGATGGAAGTGGTGGAAAGTGGGAGTGAGCAGTTGGCCAGGAAAGGTGACCATGTCGAGAACCACACCCACTCGCAGTTCGCCCTCCCTCGTCCGCTATCCGGTATCCGAGTCTCAGAGTGGATTCGTGCAGATGACGTAATATTTCGCAGGGATAAGTGAGTTTTTATTCAAGTTTTTATTCATTTTTATGTTTCATTTTTATTTTATTCATTCGTTTTTATTCATATCCCCTTTCATAAAGGCACTTTTGTTACTACAATGAAATTTAATAATTATACAAATTTTCAGGTACATCGCGCATCCCGGAACAGAAGGACTTGATCCCTTGGAGGTCACGTATCTTGAGAACGATCGCGTACTTGAATTGGGAAGTGAGGATGAACGAAAAGAAAAATCGTCTTCAAAATGTTGCCAATTTTTCGCCAATTTCTTCTCCCCTTCGAATGAGATGGATCCTGAAGAATACTTATTTCTAGAAAATGAACTGTACGAACCGTCAATTGAGGTAGGTTATTTTTATAAAAAGGTGAATTTCAGAATTTCTACAAAATGTATGCAAATTTTTCTGTAAAAATTCTGCAGAAATTCGTGCAAATTATACCCAACAAAGGTGATCAAAACTAAAAAAAACGTTTTCCAATTTTTTAGGTGTTATCCAAAATAATCGCCGAATCGCAAGGGATTCTCCGCGATATCAATAAGAGGGCAAAGTTCACCCAAGTCTCTTTCAACGATGCCTCGACGCCGACGCCACTGCCACCCACGAGCCCCTCTCAGTTGGACGAGGAGCTCTCCCACGTGCAAAATTTATCGTTTGTATCGTCCCAAAAAATCGACCTGGACAAGGTAAGTGCCCTTTTGAAGAAATTATGCGGTCTGGAAGCCATCCAGGAAGAGAGGATGATGAAGTGGATTAGACATCAGACTGAAGATCAAATTTAAGGGAAAAAGAAGTGAATTTTAAAATCTATCCAGGAGCGAAGGTTAAATTTAGTAAAAAATAGAATTTTTAAGAGACGTGGGTTGCGAACAAGGTATTTGTTTTTATTTTCTAAGAAAAAGCAAGATTTAAAAAAACTTCGAGAATTAGCTCTAAAAAAAGTTATATGTTTTGTAACATATTTTAGACAATATTTTACATATACATATACATTACAAGACTTATTGATAGAAATTTGCTGCATATTTCACAATTTCGTAAGTGCTTCGTATTTTACAAAATCCAGAATAAATTAAATTAATAAATTAATCTTTAATTTAATTTAATTAAGAGTTATAAAACAATATATTTTATATTTCTTAAATCAATAAAACGTGTTGAAACGAAAAGAAATCAGAATTTGACATGATTTTTAACCCAGTTTCATTTTTCTCTTTGCTTACTCCCCATTTTACAGGTCACGACTCTGCAGCATTCGTCATTTTAGCTGGTTATCGGACTCCAAGGACCTTATCGAGATTATCGAGAAGCATGCCGTTGAATCATCCTCATCTCCAAAAGTTTCCCTATTTCCATATTTTTACCCCCCATTTTAATGCATGCTCGATATATTCTTTTTCGCAATGTAATTTTTTATCGGATTTGCACTAATTATCGATACAATTTCCTTCTTAGGATTGCCGACAAGGACAAGATGCCCATCGCCACCACCCTGGGGAATTTCGCAACGCGGACGCCGCCTTGGACAGTGCACAATTCTACTCCAGGAGCTTATCAGGCGATAAGTTCAAGGAAAGAGAACACATTTTTTTTTTTTTTGCAAATACGCTATCAGCATCTTCGTCAGCATCACGGTCGTCGTTTTCATGGGCAACTCATCGATGTCGTCCGATATTCAAGGTAATGGTTAGAAAATATTTGTTGGTACGCCTGCAAAGGTACGCCTCCTCCTAAGGTCATATTAAATGCCGTCTTAGCATCACGGTCGTCGCTTTCATGGGCACATCATCCAACCAGTGGACTCCAGTCTTCAAGGTAACGGTTTAGAAAATATATTTGTTGGTACGCCTGCAAAGGTACGCCTCCTAAGGTCATAATAAACGGCTTCTCATTACCGGCAAATGGCACTGCTTGCTTTGCTTTATTATAGTTATAAGGTTTTGACGACTACCGCACAAGCCGTCAAAACAGCATCTTAATCATCATCATCGTCGGCATTTTTCCCCCAACTTGCACTCATTTTTGGACAAAATTTCCCCCATTGGTGTTGTCGCAGGTGATCATCATGTCCCGATTTTTGTCGTCAGCATCAAATTTGTTTGCCAGTTTAATACAATCTGGCAAACTTTGTTTTTGGATTCTTAAATATTTTACTAAATCATTAAATTCGAGGTTTTGTAAATAATGAAACCTAACATTTCTCACAAGAAGTAGATTTCGTAATTTATGTACGCATTTGGACCGTTTTTTGTATTAATTGGGGCAAATATTTCTTCATATGCGATATTTTCCGTCGAAAATTGAGCAAATTTACGTGAAAACAAGCTATAATTTGTGCAAGGTAAATACTTCTTATTCAAATTCGTTCTCAGAAAATTATCCCGTCTTGAAATATCCAATATAAGGTTTGGAACATGGGTGATTGAAGGTTGGTTAGTTTTTGGATTAAAAAAACTCACGTAGCTTTTATCTCGGGAAATGTATTCAAAATTGGGACAATTTCAGCAAATTCAGACGCCTCGATTTCTGCAGGATTCAAGTCTTCTTATTTTTCTCCACTCATTTTTTATAAAAAATGATGGTGCTGAGCGACAATGATTGTAAGACTGAGCCCTCCAGCACCATCATTTAAATATTTACAAATTAAGAATTCGTATTTTGAATCCGTTAAAAATCTAGGCGAAGATGTGTGAGTCACCACAGGTGGAACAGGTCAAAATTCCCCGAAAATCGGGTACATTCATAAATTATTGCGTGATAAGTAAATTTTTAATCACAGGTCTGCTTCGTATTTCGGATCAACCAGCCAAAGGTTGAGGCATTGTTACAAAATTTCTTAACAACGTTACTCTAAATACTTTACCTGGAAATAATGCGTCACAAGATACTGATTTCGTGCAATGGTTGACATGCTATGAACATACACATTTCTAATAATTGTGAGTAGGTGTATGTATTTCTGTGTTTCGTGGCAGTACCGAAATAGCGTGATATGTCATAACCAACTTACTTTCACAACTTACACCCACGAAAATACTCCCCACTCCTCGTAGTTTCCTTTCTCCCACGTCGATGAGATGGGCGAAGAACATGAACATGATCCAGAATCAATGATACTCGACGAACAATAGAATCTAGGAAGCAATCAGTGCTTAATATCTTTCCTCCTCAGACAAGTGGGTACAGAATCCAGCCCCGTATTACTTTCACTCTGTTAGAAGAAGTTCTTCTTGTGAAGGAGGGTACGTAAAATTCAGTCTAAAATTTTACCAAGAAATGGTACCGTGCAATAAAAAATACCCAACATTTTCATTCATCTTTATCCATTTGACCATCCAGTGTAACAGCGATTTCTTGGCGAGAAATAGTGGTCGTTCCAATGATGGTTGTCATGTCATAATTATATTTAAAGTCTCCCCTTCGTCCACTTTCTTACCTCCAAACCCAGTGAGGCGAATAACTATTGTGAGACGGGATGAGTTTATCTGAAAACGTGTTTCTCGCATTATTTCACTACTGCAACGGCTGAAGACTTTCTTCTCTTCGTAATGACGTAAACCCAGTCTCTTCATCTTCATCGGATTCCCCTTCCCTCCTTTCATGGCATTGTATAATCTCGTTTTCTTTGCGGAATACGTGACCTCAAGTCGCCACAAATTCAATCGAGTTACGTTTATTTATAGAATTTCGCAACATTTCTCGTTTCGTAATGCAATTTTCAATTAATTTGATTTTGATGGATTTTCCTGCCATAAAAAAATTATTTTCTAATAACTTGGTTAGATACGTAGATAGATCAATCTCTACGTTAGTGCTATGTTCAACTTTAACCGGTAATAAACGATTAGATTACCTAACATTGGAAGGTCAACTTGTTAAAATGTAAGTAATATTCATGTCAGCTTTTCCAGGATTATTTAACTTCATGACACATAAGTCATACCAAATGTTTAAAATATGCAAACCTTCTAATGTTACGAAATTTATAGAGATTTCCGATGCAAATTCAATTTGTAGGTTTTATCAACTTCGCCCAGTTCAATGGCGTCTCTCGAAATACATTTTAATGCAAATCATTTAAACCGGTTGAACTATTTCATAAACAAATTTAAATTGTATTTGTGGCTATAATAAATATTTTTTTCAATAAGTGGTTCATAAAAAATTTTCAATAGGAGAGTTAGGAAAATTTTTAGTGATCAGAATAACCACCGTGTTATAAATTGCTTTCACCTTTCACCTTATTTACACCAAATACAGTTATTAATGGAAAAGTAAATCCTGATTTTGACCACTCCACTCCAAATGCATGTATGTATATTACACCTTCTAATCTTATCAGAACCTCGGAAACTTTCAAAAATTCAGAGTGGAAAATGCTTCTCGCTTTTATCTTTTCCCCTCCTAAAATGAAGACATTCCCGTCAGAAATGAACATGGTCATAATTCATTTCCTTCTGTATTAACAAAAGTATCGATAAATAAGAAGGAAGGAGAGCATCATCAACTTTTAGTGGAATTGAGCTCTTCTCTTGATTCACGACGACTGATTCACTGTCCCGTTTTTGTTGGTGGACTGGCCATTAGTTTCTCCCTCTTCGTTTGATGGTCAGTCCATTGCACGGTCCGTGACTCACCCGGAACCAAAGTGAAAGTCGAGGACGCGGATCAAATCAAGCGAGTGAACGAATCCACTTTCTCTTGATCAACACAAAGGCCACCAATTTCTGCCGTGATATCAATGAAGGAATCAAATCGTGCGTAGACAGACCACGAAATTCATAACGAGGATGAAGAATTGGGTAAAATTTGGACCATTTCCGGTCTTCCATCATCATCAACCTAAGAAAAATTATGTCTAAAAATATAACTTCACCGAACCATGCCTGACGAAGTACATGAAAATAATGTCATCCAGAATGGCGTGACATACCTGTGCAGATTAACTAAATGTACTTACTAATTTTGCACATTAAAAATATAACAATATTAAGCTTTTATAATCTTTTTTCAAAATGTTGGTTGGTTAGTTTTACAAGGATTGAATTGTAGATTAAAGAATAGTTTCAGATTTGTGATTTCATCAGATAAAGAATTAGAGATTAGTTAGAGATCCGAATCAACAATCCAGATTTTCCCCAACTCTGGAATTGGCATTGTTTTCTCCATCATTGTTAGGCTTTTCGTGGAAACAATGTATTACACGTGCCCCCATTTCTCAATGATTCCGCAATTCCATGCAAAGAAACTATTTTCATGGTTAAGTAACAAAAATTCCGCTTGATGGACATTTATTGTGGATTTCTCCATTATGGTGAAAGCTTAGATTAGCATGTGCGGCCAAATTTCGTCATCTACACATTTCATTGTAAATTGAAGATCCAAATGCCCGGCGGTATTTGTTTTAAGCAGGCCACTCTACAAACCAAATTACAACCAGGGAAGAACAAAGGCTGGCTTTAATGGGCCCGCTAAATAAATAGATTTGCATGTTTCTACTTCCACAAAACACCGAATGTCGTGTCGGATTAAAATTTAACCTCATCACTTAACCATCTCACCCGCAAAACATGGGAGTGCTGAAAGTGCGAGCTAACAATAAGTAACAAACAAGGTCAGACACGGGTTCACGTTGACATCAATAATTACGCAAATGTCACTTAAAGTCTAAATATTTAAGTACTTTAAAGCGGTTGTTTTTACTCGAAATTCAAGTTGCAATACTTATCGAAATAAGTCAAAAAATATTTGTAAGTTCTGAATGTTTCATAAATAATTTTGAACAGGTTTAAGGTTGCATATATTTTTTTAATAAATTCTTTAAGCTAATAATTGTGCAGATAGATTGCATGCTGACGATGTGAATAATAAACAATCCCCGAAACTAATGCGGACGCAGAGTTAAAATTAATGGTTTACAATTTGGGGAAGTACTCTTTTCATCAATATTAAAATGGTATGTGCCACAAGCCTTTACATATCATGTTAGTTTTTGTGCTAAAACTCTTTGAGGCTGCTAAATGCAAATATCGGAGTGGTTTTTATTTTATTTTTAGCTAAAAATCTAGCGTAACTTTTGTAATTTAACAATTTTAACTGAAAGTAGAGCACGATCAGTGTACATAGCTCGTATGCAAATATCTAAAAACACTAGTGGTTACCAAAGCAGTAAAAATTACAATTTGCTGTCCCCCAAACCTTGGCGCCAAGTTGCATCCGTCGCCCGTATCGCAAACGCAGGCTTTTAACGTGGGTGAATTTTCATTAATTGGGGAATTATCGAGTCCACCACTTCTCACCAGCTCCCACACCGACTTCTGGGGGACGGCGCAATGCACTGGGGGTAGGGGTGGACGGGGTGTGGTCGTTGTGGTCATACCCTCCTCCTCCAGCTCCACGTCATCATACGACAGCTTGACGATCACTCTTTTCGCGTAACAGCCTCGGAAAACGACATCGATTTCAGATTGTGGCGTCACTTTGGCCACACTCATTGTTATGCAAGCCATGCGGAAAATGAGAGGATCTGGCTCATATAACGTTGCTTGGAGGGTTTTTAGTTCTTCCGTCTCCGCTGAAAATGGGTTTGAAACATTTGTAACTTCGAATTTTCCACAGTTGACAGTTAATTCGAGCACTCAAGTTTTTAAAAATGTTACAGAATTGATAGACGGAATATTGAAATTGTATTTTGTTACCGTAGTTTAGGATGAGATGATTTCACATGCACACGAAAAAATGGTTAAGACTGGTTAAGAAAAAATTCTGGCGTGATAGGCAAAATTTAACCCAGAAATTATCAGGCTGAAAGTATGTGCAGGTATATTTTCTGTTAAAAATGCATTCTTACATATCTTGGGCATGTATTTAGAGATGAACATTGTACCCTAGCGTAACTTAGACGGACAAAATTGACAAAGATGTAACAATTTCGGTACACAATTCGGTACACAATATCAATTTAAAAATCAATCAAGGACGCACATCTAATTATGTACCAATATTAATTTAAATATTTTAGTAACAAGTTATAATACTCAAACTCTTTATGATTCAAGTACTATGTATTTTACGCTGGAAATATAATTGGCTAGTTTCACAATCTTTCAAAGTTTGACATACCTTTATGTTTAATCTGCATTATGTGCTAATTATAGGGCATACATAATACAAATAATGGTGAGATGAAGGCTAACCTGAACCTGAGGAGAACGGCTGATACGCTGCATGATTAGAATACTGCAACATAAGGTTGCATGAGAAATATCTGTCATGTTAAGACGAGTAAAAAACGACAGCTATTTCACGTGCTCAATAAACACCACTCGTGTTTTGTGGTAAAGACAGGACAACGTCCAACAAGCAAATGAGAAACACAACTAGCGTAGTATAAAGTAAAATTTCGTAATATGTACGGGTGTAATTTCTGGTGTCTTAATAACATAATATACAATAAGTTATGCACAATGAATGTGTATGAATTTACATTACTCACCATAATTGATCGCTTCGGTTTCATTGTTACATGATTTGAGCGAAATCTTGGGATCTTCGCCGGGAATGAATTTTCTGCAATTGGCGTCCCCTTTGAATACGGAACCACTCCCACTTTCATTCCCCAAACGGACGATTCTCTCGTACAGGCAAGAGTAACATTGAAGTCCTGTAAATGCAAAATGTTAAATCGTCGAGCCAAATCGCGCCAAACTTTGCAACTTTACAAAAACCGTAAATCTAAAAATAGCAAACTTCAGTTCAAGAACATTTATTTACTGAACACTGGCGTGTTGAAGGATTTATCACCAAATAATTATCTTGTTTGCACAAATTTCTAAAATAAGAGTGATTTAATTTGCAAACAAGTTTCAAATTTACAAATTTTGAAATAAGGCGCAATGCAGTCCTAAAATTGCTCGCATGCTTTATGCATGGTCTCTCATGAAAATCATTAATTGTTAACCTAATCTCTTCATCAAACTCGGCAAAAACTATGAGGGTAAGGGTAACGGGTAAAATTTTGGCTTTACCAGAGTTTACATGTTTTCAAAAATGAATTAACTTAATTAAATTCACAAGTCTGTCAGATTAGATATTTGTTGGATTTTGTATCTTATATTCATTAATCAGAATTTGTTTGGTCTGGCTTTATTTGCATGCATTTTTCTCTGTATAATGTATATCATTAGATTTTATAATCTAAATAAGCGTCTGATTATTATTATTATTATTAAATATGCCAGCCAACTGCCAATAAATAATTCCAAATCCAAATCAATTATAATCGTTAGCTATTATAGTGAAAAATATTCTCAACTTTTACAGACTATCCTCAATCACAATACAATAATTCAATAATTAATCTTGAATATACAGCATTACCTGACGTCCAACTCGTCACACTCCACAGGACACAAGTCAAAAACAGTAATTTTACATTTCTGCTAGAGTTTAACATCGTTTCACAGATTTTAAGACTAAATTATGTAATAAGTGCGAACAAGATAGAAGAAGATTGGTTGATATTTCATTAATAAATTAATTCTTGCCAAACAATTTTCTCCAATATGTAAAAATGTACAACTCTTATAGAAGTTCCACTCCAGGATTAGAAATACGTACTAAACATGACGCAATTAATCCCTCGTCCAAACCAAAACCTTGAGTAATGCATATTTCCACAAACAAAAAACAGAAATTTGCCACATACCTACTCGTAGTTAATATTGCAGCTAAAACAGTGGCCAACCGTGTCTAAAATGACACTGCGGTGGTAATAATTGTCTTGGTTTTTCCTGCCCAATAAAAAAGCCCATTGTCCTCTCCTACCTAATTACGCGTGTCATCATCATCACCATCTCAAATATTGTTGTACATATTTATTTACTAGAAGTTCTCATGTAACAATAAAACAGCGTAACATTTTCCTCGTCTGATGGGCCACGTTAATGCAGTCTCACTACGAACTTAGCAGCGAGACTGCATTAAGTTGCAGTTTCTTGCGAATATGTATTTATGCAAAGTAAGGAAAAGACGGTCGAATTTGTCCCGTCCTGTGTAATATCTTTTATATAACGTCCATTAATTTGTAATGGGTCAATATTGCCACGAAAATTAAGCGTTTTCTCATGTTTGCTAACTATATGGATTTTATGTCAAACAATTAAAAACGTTATGAACGTATTAATTTGGACACTAAAATATTCAAATGTTTCACCCATATTTGTAATCCATTAAAGTGTCCAAAACTACTTCATAAAATCATTTTACAATTTCAGTTAAAATCGTTAACTTTTAAATATCTATGTAGAAATTTGCCACACATTTGTGATTTGATTTTTCTTCGTAATCTTTGTAAACTTTGGATAAGCTTTTGGAGTTATAATTATTTTTAAATTTTTAGCTGCTTATTAAATCGTACATTTGTGTCTAGTCCAATATTATGCATATAGTTTAAAATGTGCAAAGCTTCCAAATTCGTGTCTAATACAAAATTAGGACATCAAATTCGATTTCTAACCCTTCCGTCACGACTAATTGCGACAACTTTGTAACAAATTCGATGAAAATTATGGTCCAGAAGAGTCATACTTGTGCATAAGGTGTCGTTTATGTAAATCTCGTTTACGACATGTAATCAAATTCAGCTTTAAACTTGGCCTCGCCGATAGGTTCTCACTCACTCCCAAATCCGATCCCAAACGGATCACAGTTTGGGAAGGTCTTGGGGTCAGAGGTGAGGCCAAATTCACATTAACACACTTAAAAGTAACAAGCACAATTTCGACGTCCTTATAATTTGATTAAAATACTGGCGAAGAAACATACACAATATATTGAAGATTAATTTTCTATATTTCTATTTATAATTTATTTAACTTATCAAATATCAATTCTGAATATTAATTCAGAATTGACTTCAAAGCTATGCAAATTTTTAAATGGGTCCAGTCACCAATTTTCTCATCTTCCGTAAATTTCTAAGAGTTCATCACTCCTGTAACTAAACCATCTGACGAATTATAATCTCCTCCCCAATCCAGGATTATTCTCACTCTGCTCGCTGCACACATTACGCTGCACATTACGTCAGCCCCGCATCAAGCTCGCATCTCGCTTGCTTTCACCCACCTCCGTCGCCCATGGCTTAAGCCTGAGCGGAGAGTAATGACAGGATTGCATGACCGGGATTGGATTCGACACACATAATCCGAAACAGGGCAAAACCAGGCACAAAATCCGACACAATTTTACTACAGAGGAGACGAGAGAGTGATTTAAACCACCGCTCGCCACTAACAAAGTAAAATATTGACGAGAATCTGACCTCGAGTAAAAGCAAACAAGGAGAGATTTACGTTTCAGAGAAAAATGCTGCTTTATTTTATCTACTTTATGTGCAAACAGAGCCAGTTGATTCAATTTGGAATTATGCAACTATGTATGCAAGCCTCGGTTAGTGTAAAATTTTGGGAAAATTGTGTTTAAGGTTCTAGCAATCTCGTCGTAATATATTGCTTAAGGGCAGCTTTTAATAGAAAGTGTTTCCTCCAATATTTAGCATAACATTCTTTTTTTATCAAGTTTATGCACTTATTTTGCAACAATTTACAAACTAATGTTACAAAGGCCGAGTCAAATTGCTCGTTATTTCATTGATTCATCATTCAAGATACTAATCTGGTTTTCCAAAATCGGACTTGTACACATACATACATGCATGCTGCAAAATATTGGAAATGTTATCATTGATTTTTGAATTTTTGACCTAATTTTCCAACGTAATTTTGTACAAATTTGTGAAAAATGTTTGTAAGTTTATGAGTTTTACCGCGTTAAAAATTTTCGAAATCGGGTTATTGAAAAAAAAATTCAAACCTTTCAAAATTCCATATCGATACAACTATTATCTACTTAAATCAACAACTAGTTTCCAGAAAATAGTTACACACTGTCAATGCATGCCTTAAAAGTGGACAAAAACTTTTAGAATAATTTTAGACAGTTGAACGATTTCCCTCCACTTTAAGTAAGTGGATTAAAAATACTGTCACTTCAAAACTAGACAATCAGAAGACTGCACGTAATCAAATTCGACAACCTTGATGAGAATTAACTTTCACTTTTATTCGTGCACCACACTAAAGTGAAAGTTGATTCGCAACCTTGACATCGATGCCTAGAATCGATCATTTCATTTCAATGTCGACCACACAAAAATCCTGCTGGTTTAAAATTATGCAATTTATCGAGCGATCCATTTCCCATCGAAATTCCATTATGTGCAGAAATTTGTTTCTCCTTCTCGTTTAAAATTTAAATCTACAAGCACTTAGCAAAGTATCGATTAGTTTACGTGCTAAATAATTTTGATGAATAAGTGTGATAAGATATGATTTCGTTATATTTAACTGTCTTTATAATTTCCATAAATAAAATATAACTTAACCAAAATTTTACGTTGTACACACCTACTTAACGAATTTCATATTCTAAAATTTTCACCAAAAAATAAAATGTGGAATGTAGAATCTTCATGAAGAATTAGTACTAATATTCTACATCTCTACAAATTATCCAACGTCAAACAATCTGAATCTACTGGAAGTCGTATTAGGAATTTTTAATTTTATTTATTGACATTAATGCACTACAACAGTGTAAAAAATTACAATGAACTAAAGATCTTAAGTTAATTTCTCTACCACTTTTATGCATTTTGTTCTTACGTTCAAAATTGTGTAGCTCATTTATATTTTTTCGGCAAACCCCATCTTACAAAATCTTTTCGCTATCAAATTTCAACATTTGTTCTCCTTCTATTCCTCACATACGCATAGTGAACATTTGTTCTCCTTCTATTCCTCACATACGCATAGTGATTCACTTGTTTAAATAATCGTGTGGATAATTTTTCTTACAAATAAGTAACTATATACTAAATAAAAATTTAAAACATAATTCCATTCGTGCATAAAATAAATTAGTTTGCTGAGTTAATAACTTTTTAGTGTGTATTCATTCCCCCCACTTAATCATCATCTAAAACTCGACATTAATAACAGAGGAGGAAAAAGTAATAATAATATCGAGGTGAAAAAAGTGATTGTCCGCTCATAATAATTCTACCCAGGTGACTCTCACCTCCTCACTTTCTTCCCCTGAGAGAAATCCTTCTCATGAGCGGGGAGGATGGGCCCACTTTCACCTGGCAGGTGAATAAATTAACTTCTTTCCCCCCTTTCACTGGGCGTAGAAAAATGCAAAAGTGTCGTTAATCACGGCGACACGGGGAAACAAATAATGACCAAAATGGGAACAAAATAAATAGCTTTTTTACACACGTCGTTCCTCTCAGTTTTATGTAGGCTCGTGTAATGCAATTAGTGTATTAAGTGGCAGTATGGTTTTACTTTGTGGGTGGTGAGGGAATACGAAACGGCACGCTAAATAATGTCAGGACTATTTGTGCAGTTGGTGATATTACCAATTTTGGTACGAGTTTGTCACCGGTTTGATTTTTATCGAGATCCATCTTGAGTGCTTGCTAAATTCATGTTTCAACCATTTAGAGTGCATTATTACCTTGAAAAGCAGGACAGAGAAACAGCAACATGTAAAACTCCATAAAAATTAATGCTGCCCAAACGTCCGTCTCCCAAATGAGTGCGAATACTTAATCGGGTGGTATTCGCAGTAATGACCACATCACTATCAACTACACGACGTCCCAGTTTGTTCAACTTTCTCCACACTCGAGCCATTCATTATTAACGAGGACATCACCATACACATACTCATACACAAATGCGGAAAATGAGACAATTTTCCAAAGCCCATTCGAAGACATGCTCATTTCTTACAAAACTAGTCACAAAATTCGTGAATCTGGTTGACACAAATTTTTGCAAGGGAATTATAGGACATGCAATGCAATTAATTTTTGGTCCAAAATAATAATAAGTACCTACATATTTAACTCGACGCTTAACTTTACCAACTTTACTTTCTACACATCAATAAATGTGATAGAAGCGCTTTCTGACAGAGTAAAGCTCTACCAATTTTGGTATAGAGTAACACCACCCACGTGGCCAGGAGTCCAGAATTGTCACGAATTATTTATTAGGCGACCAATTATGTCCCAGTTCTGTGGTCACGCGAGTAATTATTTACCATGATTATGCATATCTAACTAAATTTGATTGAGCAAATTCAACACCATTTATAATTATTTTCAGATTTGGAAATGTGTTTTTTGATTTTAGATTGACGTTTTTAGCGTAATAAAAAATTTTGATTCTTGAAGGTTTTCTACTCTTGGCAGGATTGTTGGATACTCGAAGGACAAAACAACTATCTGGGAGTATAATGTTGCAGGAATTTTTTTTAATAGGAGAGAAATTGGATTTGTGACCAGCCTTTGAACCTTCGATTTTGAGCTTTTCTTCACACATTTCAGTGGATATGGCTGGCGTAAATGTGGTCATGGAGTCACACCACTTACGGCAATCCTCCTCATACCACCTTTAAAATGTAATTATCCAGTTAGTTTTAAATTTTCCATGGACATTGAGGTTAAAATTTCTCAAAACTCGATGAAACCCTTTATTTACGGTCTCCACACAAGTAAATTTGCAATCTTATTTAAAATTCCGCAAATTCGCAGCGTGGCATATGATTTATTGCATCTTAAACAAAACCGCTGTCCAAATTTGGATTACATTTTCACTGCGAATAATTATTTCGT